AGAATATAAGAAATCAAAAGTAAAGGTTGTTAAATTTTAGTCTTTTTGTTTTATTGCTTGTTGCGCATTCTTTCCTTCTTTCTTTGATTTATCAAAAACAATGCTAAATTTTTGCTCATAACAACCATCAAACAAACCTTGAAATCGCATCCATACGATAACCAATATGAGAAGAACAATAACTACAATAGCAACAGCAATGACAGCTGCAAAAATGGTGGATGACACCCCATATGAAATGTTCCCAGCTTTTCCAGTATCACATGTTGAATGGTTTGAACTTGCTCCTGTTCTATTGACTTTAAACAAGAAAAGTTTGAGACAAATTAATTTTTGTATTTGTATTGATGATGGGCTGAGTGGAATGAGGCAGTCATTCTGAGAACCACCATCATAGTAAAATGCCACAAAAAATTTACCTCAATCATAGTTAGCCGCACATACCTTTGGCAGATGTTCCTATGTAGATAGTTCCATTTGCATAGTTCTTGTGAATTCGTAAGACATACTGAATACGATACAAGGTAGATGATTTCAACCCGGCAATTGAACATGTTATTGAATCTTCATTGCTGGTGTTTGAAGACGTCATCCAGCTGGCACCATGGAATGATTGCATCACATATATCAAGCATGTCGCTATCGTGTTATGAGGTAAAACCAGGTTATTCCAGGTAACTGTTAGACTGTCTTCTGTTACTATGATGTTGCTGATGATCGGAGGTGCTAAGATGGAAAACGTATATGGGTAAATCGACTGCCGATGGCAACGAATCACTTAATTCAAGGTAATAACAGGTAACAACTGTTATCAATTTAATTCAGCTGTGATGTTATTGATTGGCTACTATGATAATGAATTGGATGAAAGTTTCTTGATGCGTTGCTCTTTTTTCAGTCATAAAACTGTCTTTTAAAACACGAAGTATTTCTGCAATCATTGTGGATTAATTGACAATGTGACTTACGTTCGCTGTTTTGGCTGATGTTATGAAAGCAATTGTCAATGCTTAGTTAACAATCATATTCAATCAGGATGATCATTTGTTTTAAGATTCGTATATGGTTTCACTGTAAAGTTTTGAACATTTTAAGAGATCATCTATGTTAAGAGGAGATAAGAGGAGAGATAAGATAAGAGGATCAGATAATGGACAGTCAATGGAAATCTATGAGCAATTTGTTTTTTACAATAACAAAATAACAAAACATATGTTCGTTTATATTTGCTATTTTCCAGCATCACTAGTTCCCTGGGGAAAACATAAATATTTAAGTATGTTATTAATATAGTAGGATATTTCAGTATAAATAATGCCTAAAATACTTACAAATCACAGTGAGTGTTATCATGGTGCTTTTCACTTCACACTCATTACCAGTCTTAGCTCTGCATTCGTATAAACCTGAATCAGCATGTGTAACAGATGGTATGGTATATACACCTTTACTGGATACTTGACCACTTCCAACTTTATGCCAAGTC